TCCTCCGAGTGCTGCGGTCTCTCTCTCTGCTGTTGCATGGCCAGTTACATGTGTTCATACAATGTGTATTTATACCTAACAGGAATATGCGTTTGGCTTCAATTCTGGGCAAACAGTGCTGCAGCACCCTTGTCTTTGCAGGGCAACTGCGTTCCACCACCCCAAACATACAGCACTTTCACAGGAGAATCAAAGTTTTAAGTATAAGGAGTTATTGCTAAATAACATCGCTTGTGAAATCTCACTTCCAAAGACACAAAGTTTACTTAAGCTTAAGTATGCCAGTTGTAACTGTTGCATCGAGTATTTCTACATCGACCTAAAAGTAAACCTTACTCAGGAGAAAACTTAAAGGTTTCCAGCACCAGTTAAAAGATGACTGCAGCAATATGCCACACAAATCTCTGGGCTGAATTCCAAATTCAAATAAGAACAAACGCTTAAAGAATGCCAATATTGATCATTAGGAAAAAGACAATGTAATGAGTTGGGAAATCTTTCTGCACATACTTTTGCTTTTTTTTTTTTATTTTTTTTTAAAAAAAGACTTGTCTGTAACAACCTCAGTGGCAAACAGTTGTCCTATTCTTGATAAACTGTGCGGCCCTTCTGTCTTCATTTTTCCCTCAATTCAGAAGGATGCTGACAAAACAGTAACAATGTACACTGCTAACTTTGACCATCCCCCCCCTCCCAGGACAGCACTGCAGTTCAATGAGGGACAGAAGCATGAGGTTAACTCCAGCAAGCTGCCAAAAGAGCAGAATTAGCTCGTATCAGTTGCAAAAAACTGAAAAAACACATCTGAGGAGTAAAGTAGAAAGAAGCAGATAAACCAGAACAAGGAGGAAACTGGATGAAGGAATTTTGAAAGTTACTTTCCTCGTTCCATAGGAAGTGATCAACAACAACTGTTGCTCAAAAGTTAGCTGCACAACTCAAAGGAACCGACTGTACGCTGCAGTGCCCTCAGAGCACACAGGTGTGTTTAGGCTGCTCACAAGGCTGTGAGCTCTGGTGCTGAGCACCCATGCAGATGACTCATAAAGAGTCTACAAAAGGGCAAGTTTTCACCTTGTCTAGACAAAAAGCAAACTGTGGAGCACATAGACCTCAAGTACTGCTCACAGTACAGTGATCTTGCTCAGCCAGGGGAGTTTTACTAACATTGTAAACCTGTGGATATACAGCTTCCAGAGGAACACTAAACACTCATGGCCTCCCATGGGACTCCTTGGGCCCGAGAACTTCGGAGAAGATAAACCCAGCAGATTCCAGTTTACCTTAGACTTTCTGCTATACGCTCCTTAACCTGTATAAAGAAAGTAAATTGAATAACTTGGAGATAAATAGCTTGGTGATAGAACTGCAACAGCTGCTACCAAGACTTTGCACATTGAGCAGTTAGGGAAATGACATCAGGACTTCATCTTGGTTCCAACTGCATGTTCAACCCTACCCTTTAGGGCACTCCTACAGGTCTCTGCAATCCAAGTGCTCCAGCCAACCCTCAGGGGTCCTTCGAAGAAAGAATGACTCTAAGCCTTGAGGCAAATTTCTGCTGAGAAGGAGGAAAAAAAAAACAAAACAAACCACCACAAAACAAAGAAAAACATTACAACTGGTTCCATAATAATGATCTAACATTCACTGCAGTGATTACGTTCACACTGAACTTCCCCATTGCCATTCCCACACTGACAACGTGCCAGATGTTTTCTTCTGCCTCACTTTACATGTGAGGGAGGGCAATACAACGGGCAGCCCAAGACCATGGAGGCTTCCACAGCCATGTCTTGTACACCGCAAAAGTGTGGATTTTTAAGCAGACTCCATGTCTGCTTGTAAAGAAAAGACACCCCAAGAACTTCTTGGAATGGCCTGAAGTTGCACCAATGGAGGTTCAGGTAGGATATTAGGAGAAATTTCTTCTCAGAGTGGTGATGCCGTGGCACAGCTGCCCAGAGAGTTGGGATGGCATCACCATCCCTGGAGGTGCTCAAGAACCATGTGGATGTGGCACTGTGGACATGGTTGGCAGGCATGGTGGAATGGGTTGGTGTTTGGTGGATGATCCTTTCCCAGTTTTAGTGATTCTATGAGTCTTCACAGAATCACAGAATGGCCAGGGTTGGGAGGGACCTCAAGGATCATGAATCTCCAACCCCCTTGCACATGCTGGGCCACCAACCTTCCCATTCAATACTAGACCAGGCTGCCCAGGGCCCCATCCAGTCTGGCCTTGAATACCTTCGGGGACGGGGCATCCACAACCTCTCTGGGCAGCCTGTTCCAGCACCTCACCACTCTCTCTGTAAAGAACTTCCCCCTGGCATCCAACCTAAATCTTCCCTCCCTCTTCCTAGCTACAGTCTTGAGAAGACAAATGGGTCCCGACGCCTAAAGGAGTTCTGAGACCACACAGCACCTTCACGGCAGCTCCACATCACCTCAGTGTTCACCAAACTCTGCTTTTCACGCTCTTGCCATCAGAACAGCGAGCGCTCTCGCTACAACCCTGACCACAACTACTCCAAAAAAAAGACATCTCTAAAATCTTTCTCGGAGCACTTTTTAAGTTAAAAAAAAAGCAAAACAAAACAAAAAAAAGGCTCGCACGGGACAGGCAGGAAGCAGAGCGGGCAAGGCGGAGGCAGAGCTCGTAGCACGCCTTCTTGGCCCGCTCCCCCGCACCTCCGCTCGCAAAAGGAACACGAGCTCCAGCGCCGACACCGCCGCGCCGTGCTCCGCACCGCACCGCGCCGCTCCCGCCCCTCCTCCCAACCCCGGCGCTGCGCACCACTCACAGCCGATCTCCCCCTCCTCTCCATCCCTTTGGAGCCGGCGGCGGACGAGGAGCTCTGCGAGCGCGTCCAGGTGCGGCGGGAGCCGAGCGCGGTGGGCTGCAGGGAGATGAACTCGGAGCTGGAGTCCATGACGGCGAAGGGCGGCCCGCGGCGGGCGCCGCTGCTCCTCAAGACCACCATGGCGGCAGGATCCCTCCGCGGCGACGGCTTCCTGACACCTTACCCACCCCCTCGCCGCCCGAGAACGGCCTCGCCGCCGGCACGCCGCCGGTCCGCTGCCCGCGTTTTCGGAGGCTCGCTGGGTTCGCTCTGCCCGCGGCCTCTTTTTTCCTCCGGCCGCGAGTCCCAGCCCGCCTAGCGGAAGGACACACGCGTCGCGCTGCGCCCATTTGAGTTTCGGCGCGGAAACGCCGCCGCGCGCCACTCGGGCGCCACGGGATTGGCTAAACGACGCGCTCCGCTAGCAGGGGGGCGTGGCTGCCAGCAGGGGGCGGGCGCTGTGCCGCCGGGTGGGCCCGGCCATGGAGCGGCCGTCTCCGTCTTCGTACTCTGCGGCAGTGCCTCCCCGAGCTGCCTGTGTCTACACCAGCTGCTATTGGTAAGGGGAGAGCCGGGAAAGGCCCGGGGCGAGGACGGGAGGTGGTCGCAGGATGGCGGCGGGCGTAGCACGGTGTGGGCCCTGAGGCAACGATGGTGTGCGGCGGTGGGGCCGCGTAAGGTGGGGAGCCGCCCACAGAGGAATTGAGTCTGTTGGGAATGTGGGAAGGAGGAGTAAAAGTCCCGCCCTTGGTGTTTTACAGCGAAGAGAACGTGTGGAAGCTCTGCGAGTACATCAGGAGCCAGGATCGCTACCCTCTGGAAGAGTTCTATGCTGTTTTCATATCCAACGATAGGAGGATGGTGAGCGGTCGCGGTCTGAATGCGGCGGAGGCCGTGAAGCCCCGCCTGGGTGCTCCTCCGCACCCTTACACCGCAGCCTTTAAGCCACTGCCCAGCGCAGTGGAGATGTGACCCCTGGCATTCCAACCCCTGGCTGCCCTGGGGGGACGTGGCCCTACGGCCCTTCAGAATCCAGGATCAGGTGTGTTCAGACCTCCCACTGTGAGATGTGGTTGTCTGATGTGCTTGGGCTAAAGGGGAGAAGCGTGGTGTCCCTGTAGGTGGTGGGGAAACCCTGCCTTGTCACCTGGAAGTTGAGAGGAGTGATGAGATAGTATGGTTCAGAATAGTATCCGATGCTCCTAAGAGATAGGAGCTAGCAAAACTGTTCTGCCTGCAGCAGTGAGAGAAGGCAATGCAGTGGATCGTTGAGATTCATCTGTACGGAGCTGCAGTGTTTCATTTCAAATCACTTAACTTTCAGATTCCACTCTGGAAACAGAAATCAGGGCATGGAGATGAACCTGTTGTCTGGGTAAGGCCTTTTGTTTTCTTTATTTTTTTTGGTATTTGATAGCATGTTTGATAATTGACGTTTGCACAACCATATGTGGGCAGTGTTATCCACATTTCCTGTAACATCTGTGTATCAGTCAAATACTTTTTCAGTGTGCAGACAGATGACTACTGGCACAGCTTGCCCAGAGATTGTGGAGTCTCCTCCTTAGAGATCTCCAAAAGTCTCTTGGATGTGGACCTGTGCATCCTGCTCTGGGTGTCCCTGCTGGAGCAGGGGTTGTGCCACATGGACACTGAGGTCCCTGCAGCTTCAGACATTCCATAGTTCTGCATCAGCGTTTATTATTTTTCTGCAGCAGATCTATTAAGAGCCAAAGTCCAGTGTTCCTTTGTATGGCTCGTAGGAAAATAGCAGTGAGACACAAATCTTCAAATGACTGACCTTAACTTTGGTAAGAGTGTATAACAAATCTGTGAAAATTACCATCTGGATTTGTTGGGGCCACCAGCTCTGTAGAATCTGTAGTAGAAGTCTGTATATATATAAGTAAAAGATGGATGTAAATACCTACATAGGGTTGATCTAGGATTGAAAAATGTAAGCATTACCTGTCTTCAAGATTCGGCATTTAAACTGCCCTTCAGTGGTGTCTTTGGAGCGTAGTTTGATTGTGAATGCAGTTTAGCCTCTATGGAATCTCTTTTACCTATGCAACATTACAGAGTTGTTCCACTAAAAAATCCTCTCCGTTTTGTGTGGCTGTGTGTTTCTGAAATTTAGCAAAAGATATCTGCAAGCTTCCTAACTGCAATTGCAGAATCATTAATTCTCTCAAGGATCATCAAGTTCCAACCCCCCTGCCGCAGGCAGGGCCACCAGCATCCATGTTTAATACTAGACCAGGCTGCCTCATCCTACCTGGCCTTGAGCACCTCCAGGGACAGGGCATCCACAACCTCTCTGGGCAGCCTGTTCCAGCACCTCACCACTCTCATAGCAAAGAACTTCCCCGACATCCAACCTAAATCTTCCCTCCTTCGTCTTCAAACCATTTCTCCTTGTCCTGCAGTTATCTACCCTTTCAAAGAGTTGACTCCCCTCCTGTTTATAGGCTCCCTTTAGGTACTAGAAGGCTCCTTGATTTGCTGTCTTCCTCAAGGAGGACTCAGAGCCTGTGCAGTTTTGGCCATATCCTTTTGCTCACTGATGGCAATAATGATGAAACCAGAAAAACAGAGAATTTGGTCTTCAGAGCACATGTATTTTCATTCCATCCTTCAGCAGTTCAAATTTGATTGTTGATACTGCACAGCTATAAAATAATAATGACCAAAAAATATCTGCAAAAAGTCTGCAAATACCTTCCATAGTCTTGCAGTAGCGATATTTCCATAAGTACACATAATCACAACCCTAGCTTTGAGCAAATTTGCTTGTGTTGAATATGAGCCCTAGGTAGCTGAGAGTTGATGGGTTTAGTCTCAGACTTGTGTAACTCCTCCATATTGCTGAGTGGATGTCTCTCTCGACACAGGTTGAGATGAACCCTAGAAGAATAAATTCCCCAGTACTTACTAAAAAGTGATTCGCATGGGACTTTAAACGTAGAAAGAGTGAAGCTTTCTGGCTACAGAAATCTTAGATCTTACACAGCCCATGTTATGCAGGGAAGAAATAGTTGGCACTAGCATTTGCTTATAAAAGCTTGTCTTTTAAAAAGGAGGGTTGATCGCTGAACCAGGCAGCAGCCCAAATCAGCCTGAGCTCAGATGGAGTTTTTGTAAAGCTTGTAGTTCATTTCTTCATGTACTTTGTAACAGACTTTTCTAAATGTTGTTTTTGCATACAGTTGCATAGGTAAATTGGTCTGTGAAAATAGCTTGCCCGAGATCTTATTCATTCATTTCTCAGTCTTCTTTGCTTAGGGTTGTGCTCAAGTGTCAAAAGACAGAGCTTCAAACTTTTTGTGAGTGGATTTAGTGTTCTCTGTAGTAAACTGCCAACTACCTTCAGTTTAGCTTTGGAAAGCTGCAGTGTAATGAACAAGGTAAATAACTCCAGTTTCTCTAAGCCTCCGCCGTGCCTGTGTTACTTATGTGTTAAGGAATAAAATAGCTGGTATAAGGAATAGTTTAGCTTTAGTTTGGCTGTCCAGGCTTAAATCAAAGGAGACCGTAAAGAAATGGGAAGAATATAGAGGTTTACTGAAGAGTAACAAGGGTGAGGTGCCATTAGGAATCCTCTCTTCTGGTGGCAGAGATGTCTGGGCCTAAATTTCAAGGACAGAAATGATGTAAAGGAAAGGAGCTGTAGCTTCTGCTTTTAGGACAATTTTTTCTCTCTCTCTTTCAGTTTCTGATAAACAGCTGTTTAAACGATGAAATTCTTCTCAGGACTACCATGTTATCCTACTTCACGTTCCAGGTCGAGAGCAGAACTTCGTTTATGACCTTGACACTGTGTTGCCATTTCCGTGTCCTTTTGAGATGTACAGCGTGGAGGCCTTTAGGCCTGATGACAGGCTTCATCCAGAATTTCACAGGTGCTGACAACAAAAATAAAGACCACGGATGGTATTTCCTGGAGACTTCAGTTGAAGTTCTGTCTGTGGATAGACAGTGACAGAAGTTTCTGCTATATTTCAGGAAGCTAAATGCACTGCGTTATGTCTCTAAAACTCTTTACCTAGGGGTTGCCATCTTTTAGTTATCGAAAGCCCTTCTCTTCCCTGCTCTAGTTTCTTGGGAGCTAGTTTGCTGCTTGGCCCAATGTTTGTGAGTTAAGTGTTTAACTAAATTAATGCTGTTCAAGAGGAAGAAGAGCTCTTGTTCAGAATGCCTAATTAATAACTATGACTAACAAGTATGTGACAGTGGTGTTACATGCACACATCATTTGATACAATTTTTCACCATTTTAATATTTATTATTTATTTATTTGATGCATTTATTTGATGTTTTTCATTATTATTGTTTAGGAAGATCAGAATGGTTCGAGCAGATTTCTACTTGGAGACATTTGCTTCAGACAGATCTCATATGAAGGATGCAAATGGGAAATGGCAGAAACCTCCTCCTTCATACCCTTGCATTGAACCTGCTGGTAAGATGACAGAGTTCATAGAATCATAGAATCACCAAGGTTGGAAAAGACCTAAAAGATCACCCAGTCCAACCGTTCACCTATTCCCAATAGCTCCTACTAAACCATGTCCCTCAACACAACATCCAGTCTTTCCTTGAACACCCCCAGGGTCGGTGA